GTAGAATACGGCGTCTCTCAATGGGTCCCCCTCGGCCCCCCGGGCTGCCTTGGCATAGAGACGCAACTGGTGCTTCAGTAGAATGTATGTTATTGGCCCTGCCCTGTTCTACGCCGGACTTCGTCGTTTGATATGTGTGAAATCATTGGGTGCTTAATGCCACTGATGATTCTGAGCATTATCCCATGAGCTCCGTCTAATTGCCGCCTTTCAGCTGCATTCAAGCACGCGGTGATGAGGCTGTACATCAACTTCGGCACTACCGTTGCGCTGAATACTTCCACTTTCCCCTGCAACGTGATGGACGAGTGGCTCCTGACCTGCTTGAGCCGGCGCAACTCGAAAGGCCCGGGGAGGGCCAGGAGAACGACAGACCGTTGCGCAACATTGACACCACGAGCCGAAGAGCGTGGGGGACGGGGGCACGGGGGTGGACGGGGGGCGGGTGCGGGGACACAGCTAACAGCCGCAGAAAATGTGAAGTATCCGTGGGGAGCGTGGGGGGCGGGGGGCACGGGGCGGACGGGGGGCGGGAGTGGGGACGCAGCTAACAGCCGCAGCATGAGTGAAGAATCCGTGGGGGACCGGGACCAGGAGGCGGGCGGGGGACGGGCGTGGGGCGGCGGCGGGAGCCGCAGAAAGGAGCAGAGACAGGGGGCGTGGGGACGGGGGCCAAGGGGCGGGCGAGGGGCGGGCGTGGGATAGCAGCTAACAGCCGCAGACTATGTGAAATACGGTGGGGGGCGGAGGCTAGGAGGCGGGCGGGGGACGGAGCCGGGGGCGACGGCGGCAATCGTCGAGAGGAGTGCGGGGGGGGTCCGTGAGAGCGGGGGGGGGGCACAGCGACTGACAGTCGCGCAATGGCAAGTGTCAGCCACCAGGGGCAAGTGGGTTGAGGAGCAATGAGCGACCTCCTGGAGCGCCGAGAGAGGCGATGTAATGTCAAGCGCCGCCCAGGAAGACGCAGTGCAGGGCAGCACTAGGCTGCAAGTGGTGTCGCGAGGGACCTAGCAGTACTGGAGGCCCACACGGGTGAGGGCCAGACTCGCCTAACGCGGGCCAAGGGGAGGCGGCGGTCATCCACGGGGTAAGAGGCCGCAAAGTGAGGTCCAGGATTAGGAACTCCTGAATGCCAGAGACGAACCAAAAACCCCAGCTGGGCGCGCCCGAGACGGTATTAGGCGCACGGCCGAAGTGGCGCGCCGGAGAGGCCCTGCCAAGGCAAGCCCAAGTGGCGGGGGAGTCGTTGCCGACATAGGAGGCACTGATGCCAAGCGTGGGACGCCACTTGGCCTAGGAACATCAAATGGGATGCCAGACAGCGAAAGGGCCAGGCTGGTGGGGATAATTTTTGACAACAGGCTCGCGAGGCGAATCGAAAGCCGTCCGAACACTAGTTGGGCCGCGACTAGGCAGCTGGTGGTGGGGATACTTTTTAGTCAGCGACCGCGGGCGAGCGCGCCAGCGGCGAGTCAGGTCAAAGCGGGCTACGCAGAGACTAATTAGGCAAAAGCGGCGCGCAAGGCTACAGCGAACGCGGCAAGCCGAGGCCTCACGCAGCGGCCCAGCGGCAGGTGGGTGGCAGGAGGAACTGAAACTGAGTGGAACTGCCAGCGTGCAAAGATGCAGGTCCGTCGAAGGCGCCGTAAGTCGGGATATAAACGACGACCAGGGACAACTCCGAGAGATAATGCATGAGACCGAACCTCAAGCAGCTGCGTGGGCACCAGGGTGGGCTGGTGGGGACACGCGAAGCGTCAAGAACTGTTTGCGCAAGCTCAAGGCCGCACCAGGGCATCGCTGGGAGCATCACACGCACAGCACTGAGTGGGCACGCGCTCCCGCATCGGAAAAGCAAGCGGGTCCGCCCGTGATATCTACAAAACCACACAGCATAATGTCCCGCACGTCGAGCGTGAGGCGGCAGAGCGCAAGCACAGGGTCGACGTCAAGTCAAACTAGGCCACGATCGAACGATCCAGCTGCCAAGCATCAACATCATCGACAGAGGAACCCACGCACATCCGAATCATCATCGGTGGTATAGAGTATATGTTTGTTGTTGTTTGCTGTGATCGAGTTCACAATTCTACATCATATGTCTTGTTGATCCCGCCCCCTCTGGTGCACAGCATGACATTGCAGTTGAAGTGCCCCTCACCGGGCTCGCACCCTGTCTCTCACAAGGGAAATCATTGAGCATCCGACTGGGTTGTTGGTCCCCGAACTAAAGCAACAACAACCACCATCAGTTTAAGACTGCTCGCTTTCATACGCTCGCGTGCCACTCAACATGCAGGTCCCAAACCCTGGCTGCCGAACCCCCTTCGTCTTCGATCGTACCCCTCGTAGGAAGTAATTTTTCGCTACCTGCTACTTGTAGTTGGCGCAGCCCCTCAAACAAGGGAAGGGAGGGAGGAGGGAAGGGACAAGGGGGAGAGAGAAGGATGGAGGACGAGAGAGATTAGCAGGTGGGTGGTTAGGAGCAGGAGTGCAAGCGGCAGAACCAGACGGGCGGGTCGGGTGGGCGGACCCTAACGGGCGGGTCGGGCGGGCGGGCCAAGACGGCGGGGTCGAGCGGGCGGGTCGCTGACGCGTCAGTCCAACATGAATCGCCAGGAAGTCTCGAGCGGTGGCACGAGTCCCAAGTAAATCGTGAGGAAGTCCAGAGCGGGATCGTGATTCCTGAGTGTCGAAGGCGCGTTTTTCTTTAACGCGAAAAAGTCTCACGCGAGAGCGGGATTCCTGCGCACATTGTCAGGAAGTGCCACGCGAGAATTCGATGTGTAATTACATGTCAGGAAGTATCCGTTTGAACTGTTGTTTTTAAATTCTCCTTTTGAATACATGTTGAATGACACGCGAGCAGATAAGATCGAACGGTGTTAAAATGATTGATGTTGTTGTTGTCGTCGTCCCCCCGGCGACACCCCCCGACCCACCCGCGACCCACCCCGCGAACCACCCGCGACCCACCCCGCGCCCGCCCCCTCACTTTTACCCGCAATTTCGGGGTGCTGCGTGAGCCAACTGCTCCATGCTGGCCCCCTCCCGCTCACCCAAAACCTTGCCGCCGGCAGTACTTGCAGCACTCGTGCCGAAGAGGCAGTCCCAAACCGTCGGAGCAGCGTGCGTGCGCGACCGCCTCCAATAGCTCCTCCAGCAACCTCTGGTCTCGTGGGGCCAGCCGACAGCGGGACCCACGATTAGGCGAAGCAGGCCAGGACAAGGAACAAATCGGACGGGGATCTCTGAGGCGGGGCGGTCCCGGAGGATGTCTCGGGCGCCGAGGTCGCATCAGAGCATCATGGAACGCCCTGAGAGCGTTCCGGAAAGCTTTGATGAAACTGTACGTCCGTGCCCTGGCCCCGCCCGACGCGAGACGGCCGCACAGAGTCCTCGGCGCCAGCAGGCGCGCCGCACTCGAGCTCGAGCAACGAAGAAAGAAGTGCAGCCAGCCAAGCGGCCAAGTGGGCGAGGCGGGCTTCCCGCGCAGCTTGAGCTGGAGCTCGGACTAGGCCGCGCGGGACATTTCACGAGGAGAGGCATCGATAGAAACGGTGCGAACACGGCCTCCATCTGGCTAGTGCGTCGGCAGAAGCAGTGCGAAGAACGACTGGCCGGTGACCAGACCCACCACTACAGTTGCAATGCTGCGCACAATGCGATGGGGGCATTGCGCACAAGACGGCATAGAAATACAGGGCTTGGACGCCAGATGGAACTCCAACCGTGGATTGGCCATGGATCTCATCACCGCCCTCATCAGAGAAGGAGTCATGCAGGACTTGAAGCCTCCTGTGCACATGCCGTAACCAACGCCCCCATCGCACACGCCAGCAAGGGTCAGCGGCTGCACCATCGTCTTCCCCAGCTGCAGGATGGCGTCCGTGACTCCGCCGGCCAGCCGCTCAGAGGCTGCTTGGAACTCTTCCTCGGAGCCCAGCTGAGCTCAGCAACCTTGTCCATGTCTGTCCTGAGCCAGTGGATCACCGACATCGGCTGACCAGGCTGCACCATCGCCTCGAGCTGTGGGAGAGCTGCAGCACGTGCACAACCGCGAGCAGCATCAGCTCCATCAGTAGCCCGACCGGCTACGAATTGCGTACAAGATATCGGAGCTTGGAATATTTTGCCCGCGCATGACGTGAAGCGGTGGAGAAGTGTCTCTTGGCGGCGGCCACTTCGCACTCGTAACAGCAAGGGGAGTGCAGCGCACGTCAGCCAGCACCTCCCCCTCCAGGCGCAGGAGGCGCGCGTCGCCCAGTCCACGGAGCCGGCTGTATTGATCACGAAGAGATACCCCCGTGATCCCCCCCCGCGAACGAAGCGCGTCTGAGCGGACGGAGGAGGCTATCGCGAAAGCGACGCTGCAGAAACACATTCGCTGCCTGTCTTGGCACACCGCAGAGGGAGTGGTCACAGGCCGAAGGAAATAGGAAACAGAGACACGCAACGGAAAGAGAGAGCAATCAAGGAGCCAGGTCCCGTCGCACATGCACGTCTGGCCGCGAGCATATGGGCACGCTCCCTCGAAGCTCTCGCATTGAGCGCAGTATAATGCAAACCTCTTGTAACAGAACGAAAAGCGCAGAAGGACCGAGAACAATTTGCTGCAAATGTCGCATGAGCGGCAACAGTTACAACAGCCGCAGAAAGCAACGTTACCTTCTGATGTAAAGACATGAAACCGGTCACGGAGGAAGAGGACAACGACGGCAGGGGAGAGAACGAGGAGAAGGAGAAGGGGGAACAGGTGCAGAGGCGCCAGGGGAATAAAGGGAGGGGCAGGGGGAGGGGGGAATGGAATGGGCTCCAAGAGGGGGCGCATGAGGATGGCAGATTGAGATGGGCCCTAGAGGGGGAGGGAGGATGGAAGGAGACATGGGGGATCAGGGATCTGGCAGGGAAAAATGAATGGGGCTGGACGCGGCCCTTCCCACTCTCCATACCGCTCCGTGCCGCACCCTGCTCTGCTTAACCCCATGGGCTGACCCCGCCTCCTTCTGCTTCTCGCGAATCGCGATGGCGTCCGCAAGGGCTTTCTTGTCGTTCTCCGTCTTGGCCTGACGATACACGACGCCAGGAATCGTCTGCACTACCAGTCCTACTATCATGCTGCTACTCGCTCTGCGACGCCTCCAGCTCCTCTTCTTCTTCCTCCTCCTCCTCCTCATCATCATCCTCATCCTCATCATCCTCCTGTCGCTGCCGCTGATGGCATCGGATCCGAAACCGGAGCTGCCTAGCCCCCCCCTGTGGCGGATTTCGCCGCTGAAAGGGTGCACAAGAAGCACAAGACGAAAGAAAATCCTCCTCTCCGATCCCCTCCTATTCCATGACCCTCCTCCTCCTCCTCCTCCTCCAACTCCTACTCCTCCTCATCCCCCTCATCCTCCTTCCCTCATTATACCCATCGTCTATGTCTTACTCGTCATCGTCCTGCCCTCCTTGCGTTACACCTGCAACACGGAGGCTTATACATAGCCAGTTGCCCACAGACATGCTGCCACAGAGCAAAGGGCAACGGCAGCTGCTCGAGCCGCGGGCTGCGTCCGACGCTTAGGCACGGTACCCGTCCATGCTCGCACGCCGTCGGCTCGAAACCTGTGCAGCGGCGGCGCGCGCTCCTGAACAGCACCCACGACTGGCGACCACATCCGTGTCCGCGCCCTCGCGGTCTGGATACCCGGGGAGTCGTGGAGTCGTCCTGGGGCGGCCTCTGGGGATATCTTGGCACGTCTCTCACGAGCGGCGACCATGCTCGTATCCGCGCCCTCGCAGTCCACATTCCGGGGCGTCGTGGAGTCGTCCTGGGGCGAGCTCCGGGGATATCTTGGCACAGGAGGAGGAGGAGGAGGAGGAGGAGGAGGAGGAGGAGGAGGAGGGGAATTGGGGGGGAGGAGGGGGAGGGGGAGGAGGAGGAGGAGGAGGAGGAGGAGGAGGAGGAGGAGGAGGAGGAGGAGGAGGAGGAGGAGAGCCTTTCACGAGCGGCGACCAATCCCTATCCGCGCCCTCCGCGGCCTGGACTCGTGTGCGCGCGCTCCCGCGGATGTACGCGGGACCGCACTGGTACCTTCCGCGCGGGGCATCCGCGGACGAAAAAACGGCCCGCATCCGCGGTGGTCGCGGCCCAGGGGCCCGGACCGCGAGGCTGCGGATCCGGATTGGATTCCCGACGGGGAAGCAAATCACCTCCAGAACCACCACCATCACAAGCGAGGCCGTTTAGCAAACGCGCCCAAAACAGGAACCGAGCAGGGCAGGGCTGTTTTGTAAACGCCAATTGTCGGCTCCTTGTGGTATTTCTTCCCTTGACTTTCGCCCGCGAAGCAAGCCCATCGTGTCGACGATCTCTCGGGTGGGGTATCGAAGCCGCCGGATCCCACAGGGCGGCAGGGACCAGAGCTTGCACGGTGGCGGCTGTGCCCGGGACCGCATCCACCAAGGGCCGCAACCGCTACGATCGATCTTCTGTGGCAGCTCATGGGAGCTTCCCACGTCATCTTGCTGGCTCTTGCAGATCGATGCTGGCCGACGCTCATCGACGATCATCGGCCAGACCTCGACGCTAGTCGACGCTAAATCTTCGCGTCCCCATCGACTACCAGACGCCACCGCACGCCAAGACACCCCGAAAACGGAACTCCGAGGACTCACAAGGCTCCCATGACTTGCTGCCGAGTCAATCGACGAGTCGGCGACCTGACAGGGGTCCCCACTGAAGAAACAGAGGTCTTCTGAGCTCGCGGGGGCGGCCGGCGGAGGGAGTGCGGCGCCAGCCGGCCGCCGTGGGCCAGGAGCGGATCCCACTCGCCGCGTCTTCTGCGGCCGCCACCTCCGGCCGCCCTTTCGAGCCGAGCGCTGCAGGCTGCAGCATCAGAACTGCGGGTGGACAGGCGCCAGAAGCTTGGAACGCCGCTAGTTGTCTACAATCGGGAGCGTGCCGCGGCAGCGGCCCCGGCGACGTGCTGTATGCCCTGCAAGCGGGTGGCGTGTGGCTACGCTCAGAGAGGCTGGAGGCTGGGGAGGGATCGCGACGTTGACATCTGGGGGCTGGGGCATGAATAGCGTATCGCGCCGCAGCGCGGTGGGCCAGAACAGGCGGCGCGACACGCTGAGCCACACATCCTGAACGCACACACGCACTGAGACTACAGTCATCGTGCTACCATGAAGAACGCACGATGAGGAACAAAGGGACTTTCCTGGCCACGGCGAACCTAGGCCACAAACACATACCACTAGATAACTCAGGAACGGCCCGAATACCCAAGTGCCTCCTGAGCCCAAAGCGGCCCTCATTTCAGCGTCTCGACTGTAATTCAAGACCTGCCGCTCTCCTCCACAGGAGCGCGGCCTCGTGCACAACAGAGGAACACACGGAGATGGGCATGGCCCCAGAAATCACAGAGGTCTGGTCGTGACCACCTTGCTCCCGCATGTCCAACCCTTGCCTTCGACCCCCCAACACGAGTCGATCCACAGAGCCCGGATGTGCGACGCCGAAGTCGACGACAACAAAACGACTGGAGGCCCGCAGCTCTCACGGCTGCCACTGCTGGTGCAGACCCCTCCATGGCCTCAGAGCGCTGGCGGCGGAACATGCGAGCTGGTCCAAATCTGACCGAGCTTCGCACAACAACTACACTGGCTCTTGCGAAATACCCATGTCTGTCAACCCTGGAGCCATCGTTCTCTTGCTCCTTATCCTCCCAGAAGCATACCTGGAAACAAATGAGTTAAAACAAACTGGAAAACGCCTGGGCGCCCCTATGGCTCCTCCTCCCTGCCTCCCTCCCCCTCTTCCTCTCTCCTGCCTCCTCCTCCCTCCTGCCTTCTGCCTCCCCTCTTTCTTGGTTTTCATAAGGCTCGCTCTCGGGAGAGCTTCTGCCTTGAACCACCAAACAGAAAGAACACTGCACTAGTGCAGGAGAAGGGGAAGGGGGACGGTGAAGAAGAAGGGGGAGAAGAAAGGTGAGAGCGGGGAGGCGGGAGAGGAGACGGAGAAGGAAAGGAGGAGGAGGAGGAGAAGGCAAGAAAGAAGCGGGGGGCGCGGGGGGGGGAAGGAGGGAGGAGAAGGTGGGAAGAGGGGGGGAGGAAGAGGAGCGGAGGAGAGGCGGGGGAGGAGCGGGAGAGGAGGGGAGGCACGCTTCCCCCTTGCAGCGGGGGTGCAGTCCATGCCAGCCTTCACGTCAGCGATGGTAGCAGTGAGTCCGCCCTCCTTCGCAGTGAGGCTCTCGATGTCAGCCTGACGGAGGGCAGAGGGCCGACCTGGTTGCGCAACCGCGACGCAAAGGAGAAAGGAGGGAGGGGAAGCGAAGAAGGAGAGAACGCAGGAAAGTGTAGCAAAAGGGGAGGAGGGGAGGGCAAAATGGAGGGTGGGAAGAGAGAGGGGAGCGCCAAAAGGGAAGAGGGAACCGGGGAAGGAGTGGAAAGGGGGGAGCGGGGAAGAGGGCAAGCGGGGACGGGAAGAGGAGCGAGGGCTGCCGGGAGGGAAGAGGGGAGGCTTGGCGGGGCGGCAGGGCGGGGCAGGACAGGGCAGAGGTGGGCACGGGGAGAGCAGGGCAAGGCAAGGCAGGGCGGGGCGGGGAGGAACAGGGAAGAGGGGGGGGGGGCTGAAAGACGCTTCGGTAAAGCGAGCCCGAGGTCCAGGCGCTGCAATTTGCTCACACCCTGCGTTCTCACCTGGTTCCGGGCCCCCAAACCATGACAGATCGATCTGGCTCTAAAAATGTCGAAGAAGGATTGGGTCCAGGGGTCCCGTCGTGATTCTTCAGGGTGCTGCATGTGTTTCGCAACGTCGGATCGTGGGGCGAGAGCGCCGTTTGAAGAACTACGAGGGGTGGCCACGCGCTGGCGTGGGAGGGCCGGAAGGGCGGTGTGCCTTCAGCTGCTCGACCTTCTCCTTGGAGGCCTGGCCGGCGAGGGAGGGGGCAGGGGGAGGGGGGAAAACAGGGGAGGAGAGAGACCGGTGAGAGTACCAATGCACATCGGCAAGGTTACGCATCATCATCACTGCTACTGTTTAACCACCAGGAGCCCTGCCGGCTGCATCGCGCACGTCATGAAGATGCAGATCGAGGTCGGGTCGGAGCTGAAGGCGAGAGTGCGATACGATTCGGCTGGCGCCAGCGTGAGCCAATGCCACGACGAGGGTCTGGCTTGACCCAGAAGAAGAAACCACGACTTTGCGCAGCAGCCTGCGGTGGACAGCACGACCAAGAACGTCTGAAGACACTCCCGTTGTGACCGACTTGAGATCACACGAGACCAGGAGGTTGTCACTGGAGGGCGTCGCTGAGCGAGTGCGTCCAGACACAGCAGTGCCCCGAGTGGCTTTGGCGGCTGCGCGCGAGGGATCGTCGCGCCATACGCTCCGCAAGATTCATCTCGTGGACGATGACGACATCTTCGAGGCAGACAAATACGTCGAGCGCGAACATGGCAACGAGGAGACTCTAGACGACGCCACGGACAGCAGACGTCCTCCACGAAAACTGACCAATATAATGTCAAACACACGCGGGAAAAACGAACAATGACCGAAAGCAAACCCTCGACAAGCAAGCGCAAGCGCATGATGAATTGCTGCTGGGCTTGGGGGGCAAGTCAACGGACCGCGAACACACCGAGCCCGGCCTCCGAGGCGAAAGCCGAGTGCAAGTCTGGTGGCGATACCACCCGAAGCAGACCGGTGACCGGCAGCTCTCAGACGGGGGACAACCGCGTCTCGGCGTACGTTGTAAAATCGACTGGAACGCTGCAGCAGTGACTCGGGTCGGGCGAAAGGGGGGATAGCAAAGGGGGGTTTGAGAATCAGCTCGCGTAGCTGATTTTCCCGGCGCCTCTGGGCGCCGGGAGGCGCCCATGTATCGAGGAATGGGCCCGGCGGTGAGGCAGAAACCAGCTGCATGCAGCAGATTTCGTAACCCCCCTGTCGTCCGGCCCGAGTGATCCAGAGCACCCGAAGATACAGTCTGGTGGCCCTCCTCGGTCTCAACAAGGGCAGACGGATGAGCGGAGGACTGCCACGATACGCCACAGATTGCAACGGTAGCGGGCCAACACCCTACTCAAATACGCCGTCCCTTCGCCGTGTGGAGGAGGCTGTCGTCGTCGTCGCCGGTCCCAAGGAATTGAGGAACAAAGAAAAGGAACTTGTATAGGTCAAAGGGAAGCCGGGAAGCCTCTTCCCTTCGTCCCTTCCCTGCCGAGCGGGGTGGGGGGGTGGGGGTCGGGGCCCAGGCTCAGAATACAGCCCCCCGGTGTCCCGGCGAGTCTCGGGGGGGGGTCGCCAGCGGGGGCTCTGGGAGAGGTTCTGCCTTCAGGGTCGGGGCACTGGCAGCAAGGCCATCGCAATCCAGTAAAATCCGACGAAAGAAAGCTAGAACAGGACGAAGACAGAAACGGCTGACAATACGAAGAAGAAGAAGAGAAGAATGATTCCCCAATCAGAGCTTGCCTCTGCAGGGGTCCTAGCGGATGCATATGGTTAGGTTAGGTTTGCCACAAATTTTCGCCGCCCGCCCGGGTGCCCGGGTGGTGCCCCGGTGCCCGGGTGCCTGGGTGCCCGGGTGCCCCGCGGGGGTGCCCGGGGGTGCCCCAGTGCCCGGGTGCCCGGGCGGGGGTGCCCTATAGCCCTATATTGCCCTATATATATATATATATATATATAGCCCTACAACTCTATAGCCCTATAGCTCAATAGCCCTATAGCTCGATAGCCCTATAGCTCTGATGGGGTTTTTTCTCCGGTATCATATGGTTAGGTTGGGTTTGCCGCCGATTTTCGCTGCACGCCTCGGTGCCCGGGTGCCCGGGGGTGCCCGGGGGTGAGGTTGGCCGCCGATTTTTTGCTGTACGCCCGGGTGCCCGGGGGGTGCCTGGGGGTGCCCGGATGCCCGGGTGCCCGGGCGTGCCCGGGGCGGGGGTGCCCAGGGGTGCCCGATAGCCCTATAGCCCTATAGCCCTATAGCCCAATAGCCCTATAGCCCTACAACTCTATGGCCCTATAGCTCTATAGCCCTATAGCTCAATAGCCCTATAGCCCCCTAGCCCTATAGCCCTGATTGGGCCTTTTCTCCGGTATCATATTAATCCTGGGGAGGAAAAGGAAAACGGGCCCGCATGTATTGCAGCTTTCGCAGCAGAATTCCGCCTCGCTGACGGCCTCACGCTCGGGCACGCTTCCTTTTCAACCGCTGTTGGCGCAGCCTACAGCACTTGCGCTGGTACCGACGAAGGGATCACCGCTTCCGATTCACCATCGTTCTGCCCAGAAGATTCCGCAGAAGGCGGCCCAGAACGGGCCCGCGTTCTGGCGGACACGCATTTTAATCGAGTCTGTTTCACATGCAGATATCTGAATGGTATGCCGATACCGTCGCAGCGCCTCTCATGGCATCCGCGAGAGCTCCGCTTACTACCTCGTGCTACCTGCTTGAGCACAGGCCAACCTCGGAACGTAAGCGAGACCACACTCATGAATCCAGCACCCTGATTCCCATAAGTTGAGCACTCGTCCAGGTTGTTAATGAAACCCACCCTACACCTCTCTCGCTCTCTCTCTCTCTCTCTCACGCTCTGCTCCATCTGTCCATCCCCCTCGGCCTGGCACTGGGATCGGAAAACGTTCGATGACAAGTCGCGATCCTGGCTGGCGGATCTCGTGGCAAAGACCTCGAAACACCGAGACCCGGGGGGCTGGGCCCCCACCCACCAGGGAAGAACCACCTCCAACCGAAGACACTGACATACGATAAGGAAGATTACTCTTAGAATTCTGTTGTGACAGATCCTTCGGCCATCTTTCAAGCTTTTGAGGACCCTAAGGTGCCCCCTAGAACCTCTGTGGGTCCCTGGGGCCGACAGGGGGAGAAGCATTTCTCACTTGATGCGCCTACGGTCGGGAATGCGTATCGCTGCGGCGGCCCCCGCGACACGCCATGCCATGCGAGCGGATAGCGTGTCGCTCCGCTTCGTGGGGCAGGAGGCTAGGAAAGACTCGGGACCTGGACGCCTCAAGAATGGGGACGTGGATCGCGTGTCGCGCCGAAGCGAGCTGGGCCAAAACCGGCGCAGCGACACGCTATCCAAAAGTTCCCGACCGTGCTCTACGGCTAAGCACAAACCCTCTGTCGAGTGGGTGCTCGATGACCGCTGGCAGGAGAGCCCAGAGCCGAATCGAGAAGTCGGATGGGCGATCGGCACACATCGGATCGGCGGAAATCGGCAGCCGAGTCGGGATAAGCCGAACCGGCCGACATCGGCAGGCCAGTAGGCCTCCGTTTGCGAGATCGGAACCAACATCGGAATCCGAAGTCGAATCGGAATCTGACTCCATCGAGTCGGAATCGGAAATCCAATGGGAGGAGGAGGAGGAGGAGGAGGAGGAGGAGGAGGAGGGGGAGGAGGGGGAGGAGGAGGAGGAGAGGGAGGAGGAGGAGGAGGAGGAGGAGGAGGAGGAGGAATCAGCACGAGCCCTGGCCGGCGGGGGCCCGCGGCGCAGCGGGCACGTCGGTCGAGGGCGGCGGCCGCCCGAGCCGCGTCCCGAGCAGCCCGTCGCCGCCCCGCCCGCAGCCGCTCCTCTCGCACTTCCCCGGCGTCCCTGCTGGCATCCTTCCTCCTTCCCCTCGTCCGCACCCTGCTGCAGGCAGTGCTGTTCCTCCTCCTGCTGCTGGTCCACCTCCTCCTCCTCCTCGCCATGTGCTGTGCCCTCCCCCTCCCTTGACCCTGCTCCTTCTCCCCTATCCGCCTCTTCTTGTCATCCCTCCTCCTCCCCCTCCTCCCAGACACCAGCTCTTCTCCACCTTGTCCTCCTCATCAGTATGCTCCTGCTCCTCCTTCTGCTGCTCCTCCTCCTGCTGCTCCTCATCCTCTTCCTCCTCCTTCTCCTCCTGATCCTTACCCTCCTCCTGACCCTCCTCCTGACCATCCACCTGACCCTCATCCGCACTCTCCTCCTCACCCTCCTCCTCCTCCTCCTCCTCCTCCTCATCATCATCATCATCATCACCACCACCACCACCATCACCACCACCATCATCAGATCCCCCTTCTCCTCCTCGTCCTTCTCATTATCCCACTCCTGCTTCGACACCTGTTTTTCGTCCTCTCCTACTTTCCCACGTAAGCTACACAGAAGTCCAGTTCTCCTTCAGGCGAGGGCTACAATACAGAATTGCGAGATAATGCCACACACCCTGGTATCGTAGCACGCAGCAAAGAGGACACCACTGAAAAGGGAGACGACTTTCAGTGTCAGTATAGCTAATGCCCTTGTGCGTGCGACTATCGGACAGGCCAAAAAAACAAGATGCACCGGCGGGCGCTCAGCGCAAAGAGATTAATGACATCTCACGCACGAGATCACGATTCCCGCAACATGCCGCGTGTCACGTGCATCTGTCGAGATGATCGCTGGTCGCAATGAGCTTATCGTGCACGGCGCAGACGGCTGGGGCTGCATAACAAAATGACACTTTCGGCGGGGTTTGACCCTCAGAGGGGGTTCACGAAAGAGCATGCGAAGAGGCAAACCCGTGTGCAGCGCCGCTCTGCACGCCACGCATGCTCTTTTCGCAATTGTCCACAGAACTGTCGTGCGCAGGGTCTTCCGAGTCGCGAATTCCGCCAAGCCACTGGCTGAGAAATGCCTAAATCGAGAAGAGGACAGAAGACGAGGGAGGAGTAGAAGGAGCAGCGGTACGATAAGGAGAACGGGGGCAGGAGAGGAGGCAGATAGGAGGGAAGAGGGAGAAGGCAATGGATGAGGGCCAGGGGCAGAAAGAGAGAAGGGAGGGGGACGAGGACAGGGAGAGAATGAGGACGAGAAAGGGAGGAAGGCAAGAGAAGTGTAGAGAGTAAGGGAAAAAGAGGGAGGAGAGGGAGGATGAAGGAGGAGGGGGAAGAGGAGGCGGAGGAGGAGGAGGTGGAGGATGAGGAAGAAGGGGAGAACGGAGGAGGAGACGACCGCAGAAAAGGGAGGAGAAGTAGGCGGTGGAGGAGGAGGAAGGAGGGAGATTGGATCGACTCGGAAGGGGGCAGAGTCAAGTTCCGCAGCGCCGTGTGCGGGGCACCCTCTTTTGGGGGGGGGCACACGTGTGGAGCATAACGCTCAAAGCAGAACTTCTGCCCCGCCCCGCGTGGCAGCGACCTCGGCCACAACCATCCACGCTTTCCAGGGGCTCAAGATCTGAGCCCCCTCGCAGTCCACAGCGAAGCTTCCCCCCCCCAGGCCCCCCCTATGAGGGAGAGAGGTGTGGACGAGGAGCGAGGGAGCCTCCACCGCGTTGCCCTTCTCCCACGAGTTACTCTCGCACCAGCACTTCAGCTTCTCGTACAGCTTCTCGTCCTCGTCCGCCTCGGCCTCGCAGGCGCCGGCGGCGGCGGCGGCGGGGAGGGCAGGGCCAGAGGCTCGGGGGAGCCGATCGCCGCCGCACGCCGTGAAGCTCGGGGGGCGGGGGTGGGCTCCTCCTCCTCCTCCTCACCCTGCTCCTTACCCTCCTCCTGGCCCTCCTCCTTACCCTCCTCCTCCTCCTGGCCCTCCTCCTTACCCTCCTCCTCCTCCTTCTTCTCCTTCTTCTCCTCCTCCTCCTCCTCCTCCTCCTCCTCCTCCTCCTCCTCCTCCTCCTCCTCCCCCTCCACCTCCTCCTCCTCCCTCCTCTCCCTCCTCCTCCTCCCTCCTCCTCCTCCTCCTCCTCCTCTTTTCCCCCTCCTCCTCCTCCTCCCCCTCCTCCTCCTCCTCCTGCTCCTCCTCCTGCTCCTCCTCCTCCTCCTCCTTTTCCTTCGCCTCCTGCTCCTCCTCCTCCTCTTCCTCCTCCTGCTCCTCTTTGTGCTTCTCCTTCATCCCTCTTTTCCTTATGCTGAACTCCTCCCTGTCTCGCCCCCAAGCGTGTGGCGGTCTGGGCGTTTCGCCTGAGACTGTGACCCTGAAGCTTAAAGTGTGCAACGACCGGAAGGATGGAAGGCGGCTGGTTTTCAAAATGTGGTTTTCGCCTTGGCGCCGCGCACATTCGTGCTCAAAGCTTGTACCAGCTTCAACGATGGAGGGCGGCTGATGTTCAACGTCTCGTTTTCGCCTGAGCGCCGCGCACTTTCGTCTGAAAACAATGCCACCGGTTCAAACACACGAGGTCGGCTGTCAAAATATCGTGTTCGCCTTAGCGCCGCGCACATTCGTCATAAGATGTGATAGCTGAATTCAGGACTCATGCGGTAAAGTTTCAATAATACTATTACAGCACAGCTTAGGAGTGTCAGGACGCAACGGTCACGCTGATTCGCTGAATTGAAATTCCAGGAATGGAATTCTGGTGCGAGTCAGGATTGTCAGGACGCAACAGTCACGTTGATTCGCGGCGCTGAAGACCCAGGAAGTGTGTCTTGACACGGCGGACAACTTTCAAGCAGTTGCCTTCCAATGGGACACTTCCAGCAATGATAATACATGATTGCAGTGTCTGCGAAAAGGGAGCTTGGAGGGAGGACTTCTGGAAAGCTCGTTGATGCGCGCTTTGTGCTTACACTGGTCCTCTCACCTGCTCCGTCCTCCTCCTCCTCCTGCCCCTCCTCTGCATCCTCCTCCTCCTCCTCCTCACTAAAGGCCCTAGAGCACCCTAGTTGGTCCCCACCCCTGTTACACACGGGGAATTCCGGGGGAAGGGGTTACGGTCCAGGGTCCCTCGTCGGCCACCGCCCTGGACCCCGCCTCTTCGATCCTCCTCCTCCCTCCCCCTCTTCCTCCTCCCACCTCCTCCTGCCTCCCGCCTCATGCTCCTCCCCCCTCCTCCTCCCGGAGGGGGGGGAAGCCTCCTCCTCCTCGCTCGCTCGCCCCACAAGACACCTGCCCGCGTCACAGTGGACTAAACCGTCGGAGACGCCCCCTCACAACGTGAGGCGGCGAAGGGGGGGGAAGGAAGAGAAGGAAGAGAGATGGAGGAGGGGGGAAGGAAAAGGAGGAGGAGGAGGAGGGGGGGAAGGAGGAGGAGGAAGAGGAGGAGGGGGGAGGAGGAGGGAGAGAGATGGAGGAGGAGGAGGAGGAGGAAGAGGAGGAGGAGGACCAGTGTAACCCAAGCGTCATCAACGATGTTGGAATTAACCCTCCCTCCAAGCTCCCTTTTTCATAGGCCCCTATACAACGGTTTATTTCCATTGAGGGTACTGCCTCGTTGGAAGCCAATCGTTTGAAGACCCTTCAAGCATGCCAAAACATTGTTCTTGGGATTTCAACGCCACGGATCAATCTGACTGCTGCGTCTTGACGATCCGTGCCAGAACAGTTTTTGGGACTTCAGCACCGCGAATCAACATAACTGCTGCACCCGCATAATCCTGAATCTCTCTAACACACAATTTCTGGTACGCTGATCATGGGAATCCATGAAACCCTTCCAAATTTTATGAACGAGTGTGCGCGGCGCTAAAGCGAGAGCCACATTTTGAAAAGGAACCGCCCTCAATCCGTGAAACTTCTGCAAAATATCAAACGAATTTGCGCGGCGCTAAGGCGAGAACCACATTTTGAAAACGGCCCGCCCTCCATCTGTGAAACTGCTGCCACCCTTTAAGCTTCAGGGTCATAAGTGGTGAGGAAGTCTCAGGCGAAACGCCCAGCCGCCCTAAAAACTTGCCTCGGGGTGCGGCAGAGAGAAGCTGTTTAGAAGGAAAAGGAATGGAGGAGAAGGGAGGAAGGAGGAGGAGGAGGGTGACTGGCCAGGGAGCAGATCAGACCCAAAGACCCGGAGCTCCGAAAACATTGGAGCCGCCGGCTTGTGGCCGTCTTCGGCCTCCGGGGCCCCTCGACGGGCCGTGGGGCCGACTCGGGATGGAAAACTGGCCCTGGGGAAGTGGTCCAGACCTCCAAGAGCCCACACACCGAAAAAAATGAGCGCCAGATGTCTGGGGAGGGGAGAAGGAGAAGGGAGATGGGGGGGCGACCCAGCAGGGAGCAGATCAGACGAGAGGGTCCGGGAACGAGCTGCTCCCTGAGCGGGCGGGGTGGGGGGGGCAGACATCTGGCGCTCCGACGTTTCGATGCGTGGACCCCCAGGGGTCTGGACCACTTCCTGAGGAGGAGGAGGAGGAGGAGGAGGAGGAGGAGGAGGAGGAGGAGGAGGAGCGGGTGTCTCGTCCAGCGTCGGCTTTGACGGTCCTGGGGCCCGTTAAAAAAGCCTCCGAACACATAAAACAGCCAAAAACCGGCCGCTCCAATTTTGAGAGCCTCGGATCGCTGGGGTGGGGGAGAGGGGCGGTGGCGACTGCAGGGATGGTATGGTGATCATGGTCATCATCATTATCATCATCAGCATCATCATCATCATCATCAGCAGCAGCATCATCAGCATCAACATCATCATCAGCAGCATCATCAGCATCATCATCATGATCGTCAACATTAGCATCAGCATCATCAATATCATCATCTGCACTATCATCATCACCATCAACAGTATAATCATGATCATAATTATCATCCTCATCATCAGCATCATCATAAGCATCATCATCATCATCATTATCAGCATCGTCCGCATCATCATCATCATCATCATCATCATCATCATCATCATCATCATCATCATCATCATCATCATCATCATCATCATCATCATCATCATCATCTTCGTCACCACTACCATCGTTATCGTCAGCACCACCATCGTGCCACTACCACCACCAACATAAACATCACCATCAGCAGCACAGACATCATCATCAGAAGCAACAGCAACAATAGAATCATCAACCTCGACGTCATCGTCGTCGCCGTCGTCAAATGTCGTCACGAATATCATCATCATCATCATCATCATCATCATCATCATCATCATCATCATCATCATCATCATCATCATCATCATCATCATCATCATCATTATCCGCATCATCATCATCATCATTATCATCATCAGCATTAGCAGCAGCATCCTCAGCATCATCACTTTATCCATTACAATATGCAGCATCATCTGCATCATCATCATCCTCAGCATTCTCATCATCAGCATCATCATCAGCATCCGCAGAGGCATCATCGACACCATCATCCGCGCCATCATCAGCATCATCATCATCATCATCTGCAGCAGCAGCAGCTGCAGCAGTATTATCATCACCATCATCATCAGCATCATTCAGATCAGCAGCAACAGCATCCTATGCTGCATCACTCTGATATGCAGCATCAGCAACATCATCATCATCATCATTATCAGCAGCATCATCATCAACAGCATAAGCATCATCTTCACCATCATCAGCATCATCATAAGCACCATCATCATCAGCATCATCATCAGTGTCATCATCATCTGCGCCATCATCATCATTACCATCCTCATCAGCAGCAAGAGTATCATCATCATTAACAGCATCACGATCATCACCCGCGCCATCATCATCCTGATCAGCAGCAACAGTATCATCATCATAAACAGCATCACCATCATCAACAACATCATCAGCATCACCACCATCAGCAGCCGCATGCGATGCTGCATAATTATGATCTGGAGCACCAACAGCATCATCATCATCATCAGCGGCATCAGCATCAGCATCAACGCCAGCAGGATCATTACCATCATCAGAAGCAGCATCATCAGCAGCGTCAATATCAGCAGCATCAGCATCGTCAGCAGCAGCGTCATCGTCGGCAACAACATCATCATCATCATCATCAGCAGCAACAGCGTGATCAGCATCATCCGCAACGTCAGCAGTAACATCAACAGTCTCAGCAGCAGCACCATCATCACCATTGTAGCCATCATCGCTATACTGACCAGTATCAGCAGAAGCATCAACAATGTCAGCATCGCCACTGCTATCGCCATCAACTGCAACATAATCATCATCACCATCATCAGCATCATCATCACTGTCATTATCAGCACCATCAGCATCATCATCATCACCAGCATCATCGTCAGCATCAACATCATCATCAGCATCTGCATCATCATCAGACGCATCATCATCAGCAGAGTCACCATCAAAACCATAATCATCATCGTCGTAGTCGTCGTCGACGTCGCGATCAACATCATCACCACCACCCCCACTATCATCATCGTCATCGGCATCACCATCATCATCCTCATCAGCGTCATCACCATCGTCATCATCATCATCATCATCAACATCATCATCAGCATCATCATCTTCATCCCCACCTCCGTCCTCGTCCTCATCATCCTCAACAGCATCAGCATCATAAGAATCGTCATCGTCATCATCATCCTCATGATCCTCATCATCATACCCATCGTCGTCATCAGCATCATCAGCAGCAGCAGACGCATCATCGACGTAACCATCATCGTCGTCATCAACATTAGCATCATCAGCAGCAACAGCATCATCATAATCATCATCCTGCTCATCGTCGTCATCATCAGAAGCATCACCATCAGCAGCATTATTAGCAGCAACATGATCATGGTCGTCATCATCATCAGCAACATCATCATCAAGGTCATCATCATCATCATCATCATCATCATCATCATCATCACCATCATCAGTGTCATCATCTTCGTCATCATCACTGGCATCACAACTACCACTATAATCATCAGTGCCATCGTGACCATCATCATCATCAGCAGCATCATCAACATATTAATCCTCATCATCATCCTCATCCTCAACCCCACCCTAATCAGCATCCACATCAGCATCAGCATCATCAGCATCATCGGCATCATCATCAGCAGCAGCATCATCATGATTGGCATCATACTTATGATGATGATGATCATCATCATCATCAGCATCAGCATCATCATCGCCATCATCATCAGTGTCAACATCATCGTAATCATCCTCATCATCACCACCACCACTATCATCATCAGTGTCGTCGTCATCATCATAATCAGCATCATCACCGTCGTCATCATCATAACAATAAGCATCAGCAGCATAAGCATTCTCATCATTAGCAACAGCATCATCAGCATCATCAGGATCATCGCCCTCATCAGCAGCAACATCATCATGGTCGGCATCGTCATCATCAGCTTTATCAACATCAGTGTCATCATCATCGTCATCGTCATTACCATCACAATCACCACGGTCATCATCAGTGCAATCGTCGTCATCATCATCCTCAGCCTCATCATCATCATCCGTATCATCATACTCATCCTAATCAGCATATGCATGAGCATGATCATCAGCATCAGGATCATCATCATCATCATCATCATCATCATCACCATCAACATCATCATCAGCAGCATCATGATCAGCAGCATCATCATCATTGGCATCATGATTATTCTGTCATCATCATCACCATTGGCACCACCACTATCATCAGTCTCGTCATCGTCATCATCATCAGCATCATCATCGGCATCGTCCTCATCCTCATCCTCATCCTCATCATCATCCTCATCCTCATCCTCATCCTCATCATTTACCTCATCATCAGCAGCGTCGTCATCATCATGGGGGCGGTGGCGCCTGCAGGGTCTTCGACATGTCTTTCAGAAGGCCCACCACGCGGGTGACCGGGGTTTCCCGGGCAGCGCCGCGACTGCCTGCGCTCTGGCCTTGCCCTCTGCGTCCTCTCCCCCATGCCAGGCTGCCGGGCACCGAGTCAGCAGCAAGAGCCCCTGATCTCCGACGATCTAACCGTAGAAACCAATTATCGATCCCCCTCTTTCTCTCCAGCACTCAAAATTAATTGAGTTAGCCTGGAGAGGGGTGTTAGCCACCGAGCATCCCTCGGGGGCTGGCGGTGGGACACTCGAACCCTAAGGAATCGTCAAGAATTCTCAGCACTCGCCAGGGATCCTTCAGGAATCCTGCGGGGATCCTCAGAAGTGATTTCTAGGAATCGGCAGGAATCCGCGGGAATTCTCGGGAAACCTCCACGAACTACTCTGGAACCCTCACGAATCTTCGGGAAACCATCCTCAGGGAGTCCTCAGGTAACGTCAATAATCCTTCAGGAGTCCCTCTGGAATATTTCAGATTCCTTGTATGGAACCTCACGAACCATTGTTGGGACCTTTCAGAATGCGATCAGCATCCTACTATGACCTTCGCTGGGTCCCGCCTGAGAGGCCTGGAGCGGGATATAACTGCCAGGGGCGAGAAGCGAATTAGTTTCGCCGACAAGGGGGGGGAGACGGGGGGGAGAAACGCTTCCACGGCAAATTTTCCCGAACGGCGCTTCGCTAGAAGACTCTATCATGGTAGAAACCAAATCTCCGACGATCTGATTTTTCCCATCCGGCCGGGTTTTCCTCGATTTCGGCTCTCGGTTGCCGCTTTCGGACCCGGGACCATCCAAAATGGATCCAGGGCGAACAGCTACCCCTGGGGAAGCGGTCAGGACCTCTGGAGCCGCGGATTGACAAGAATCCTGGAGAAGGACCCAACCATTTGCAGCTGTATGTAACGCAGTCATGGGTATCGTCCTCGGTGAACCTCTCTCTGGGGCCACGACGCGTGTGACGGGTGTGCCAAAATCGGCACGGGTACGCCATGTGGACGCTGCCACCGGAGCCGTCGGTGCAGCCCCATGTGAGGCCACGAACCGTGTGAGGGGTCCGCCGAAATGCAGGGTGGAGCCACGTGCAGGCGCTGCCACTGGGGCCTTTTGTGGCCACGGAACGTGCAATGGGTGCGCCGACATGAAAATGTGGAACTGCATGCGGAACCTGCCACTGGGGCCCTGGGTGGAAGACTCTATGGGCCCACGAAGCGTGTGAGGGGTGCGCCGAAATGGATGTGGAACTGCATGCGGGCCCTGCCACAGGGACCTTCGGTGGATACCTTATGGGGCCACGAAACGTGTGAGGGGTGTAACGACATGAGGTGGAACTGCATGCGGACCCTGCCACCGGGGCCTTGGGTGGAGCACCCTATGGGGCCGTGGAACGTGCGAGGGGTGCGCCGAAATGGAGGTGTGGAACTGCCTGCGGACCCTGCCACTTGGGCCTTCGGCGGAGCACCCCATGGGGCCACGAAACGTGTGAGGGGTGCGCTGAAATGGGGGTCGAACTGCATGCGGACCCTGCCACTGGGGCCTTCGGCGGAGCACCCTATGGGGCCACGAAGCTTGTGAGAGGTGCGCCGAAATGGGGGTGGAAATGCATGCGGACCCTGCCACTGGGGCCTTGACTGGAGCACCCTGTGGGGCCACGAAACGTGTGAGGGGTGCGCCGAAATGGGGGGGTGGAACTGCATGCGGACCCTGCCACTGGGGCCTTCGGCGGAGGACCCCATTGGGCCACGAAACGTGTGAGAGTGTGCCGAAATGGGGGTGGAACTGTATACGGACCCTGCCACTGGGGCCTTGCGTGGAGGATCCGATGGGGTCACGAAACGTGTAAGGGGTGCGCCGAAAATGAAGTGGAACTGCATGCGAGATCTGCCACTGGGGCCTTTGGTGGAGCACCCTATGTTGCCACCAAACGTGCGAGGGGTGCGCCGAAATGGGCGTGCGCGAGAGCAGAGGCAGGGGGGGAAGGAAGGAGGGAGGGAAGGAGGGAGGGAACGCGGGGACGGTCTCTTCTAAACGAGGACCCACCACCACAGGATGGTGGGGGAAAAAAAACATGCCGGCGCGGATGCCAAGGAGAGGGCCCAGAAGAGTCCCGCGGGAGGGGCGGGAGGCCCTGGACCGCGCGCGGGTCCGGCACGGTCCGGCGGCAGTTTCGCCCGAGACATCCTCACAGGGTATGCTGGAATCGCACCCTCGCCTCAATGCCGGCTGCATTTTTGGCCCGGGCGGCCGCGATCCCTGGAGGTGCACATGGCCGTGTTCTCACACCTGTCACTCGCCGACCTCCTGCTCCTGGACACGCCTCTTTACCTTTGATGCTAGGGGGGGCTGTGCTGGGATGATTTTGGAGTCCCAGCGCTCTTCATCTGTTTGGACACTCTGGCGGCAGTATTCGGGCAAAAGAGGGTCGGGACCAAACACTGTCCCTGGGAAAGCGGTCAGGACCTCTGGAGCCGCGGATTGAAAAAACATCGGCGGACGTCAGGGATAGAGGAGTTGCTCTCTCACTCGTCGGGCGTCCTCCGAGCCGCCCTTTCCATGTTGTTGGGCTGCCAAGCACCAAACCATCGGCACGAGCGGGCGCAAGGTCCCGCTGCTACAGGGGAGAGGTTAGGCAACCGCATGCATACCCAACCCCTGCTGGTCAGACTTGCAAAACGCCAGTCGGGGCTCAGATACGGCAGGTTCGTGTCGTGCCGACCCCAGCGTTGGTTTTTGACACCGCAGGGATCGTTCAACCTTGAACGATCGGCCGCTGCCGCAACGTCCGATCGTTCAACATCGATCGATTCTGGGTCGCCAGCGGCGTTCAACCTTGAACGCCCGCGCTGGGGTCGCCGCTGGTCGACACGACGCAAACCTACCGTATCCAAGGATGTCTGCAGCCGAGAGAATCCCCCGCGGGAGTGTCCGATACCCCAGCGTCGACCGGACCCGCAGGGGCAGGGCCCGCAGTCGGGGCTCAGAAGTTCCAAGGATGTCTGCAGCCAAGAGAATCCCCCGCGGGAGTGCCCGATGCCCCAGCGTCGACCGGACCCGCAGGGGACAGGGCCCACACCTCGTCGCCGCGGTGGTCTTCCCCTCCCCGGCCGGCGCGGCCGTGGGGCGGCGCCGCTCCGCCGGCGCACGCGCGCCGGCGAGAGCAGCAGGCACGAGCAAACGACACGCTGGGGAGAGCGCTCGTCAGTCGATCAGCGGCGCTGCGGCCCCGCGCCGCCCACGAGGCATCGGGGGAGCCTCAAGGCGCGGCGAGCGGCGGCAACAACCTCCTTGTGGTAGATGTAGTCGCTGTAGTCGGCGGGCATGCCGTTCAAGAGCAGCAGGCACGAGGGGCAGAGTCAGAGGAAGAACAACGAGCACGCGGCCCGTGCGGCGCGCCGCGGCCGGCTGAAGCAGGCTCCGCGCGACCGTGCACAGAGCCTCGGCAAAGGCACGAAACGCCTCGGAGTTTGAGTGCGAGCGAAGGCATGGACGACCCGAGTCGGTTTGCCGCGCGCCGTCGCTCAGCTCGCTGCATCAGTCACGGCGCCCAGAAGAATTCTTCGGTGTGCAGGTAATCCTCTGGCATGAGGCCTTGGCAGATCCAAGGCCGTTGGACTGCAGGGATACGGCTCGTGAGGGTCTACAAGCTCCTGGCGGAGGACCCCACGAACCTCAATCCCGCAATTCAACGGCAAATCATTGGGCCCGAGTGGGGACTCCGAGCCAACGGTTTGAAGCACGTGGGTAGACCTCCACGCGCATGGAGGCCTCGCAGACTTCAAACATTCACCTCAATGGTCTTGGCCCTAGCACCCCTGGAGATCCTGGAGTCATGTGCGGGATTTCAAAAGAAAGTGAACCAATCCATCTCAAACTTGGAGCCAACCCCGTCCAGCGCGCTAGGATGCACGGCCATTCGGCTGGACGTGCCAATCTCGCCGTGTTTGCACCCTGTTTGTCGCCCTGGAGGGGAGCTCGCAACCCGCCTCCCCGAGGAAGGGCGGAAAGATCACGCGAAACACTTCGGCGGCACCTTCGCCGCACACACTGCCCACTCACCACAAGGCCCAGGCGGCTCTGTAGTTGCCTGCCCCTGCACGCTAGCGTGGTCCAACCAGTCTCGTCGCTTGGAGATAATGCTGCGCTTGGACGTAAGCAGAATGCCCTACGAATTAAAGATGATGCAAACAAATTCGCGGTAGGTTGATGTAGCTGTCTCTTGAGATTGCTCCCCACCCCGAGACGGTGACAGAAGGCTGTGTGCTGAACAACCGGAAAAAGCTCGGTACCTGTGCGCCACCAATCAACTGCGGCTCATGGAGATGGCAATTGGACACCAAACGTTGCGCTTGCGCGAGCCTTCCGATGCAAGTTCGACGTCGCTGGACCTGCACCAGCTAACAATAAGGCGCGCAGAACATAGGCCAAGTGTATATATTTTATACATGAATATACATATATATATATATGTTTATATGAGTTTAAAATTCAAATGCGCATTCAACGCTGCGTATTTCCCATGCATGCGCGGGTGCTGTTATTTCGCGCATCTTGACCATGCATGTAAAGCGCAGATGCATGAAACCACTCACATGCATGAACTGGCATACGCTGTATCTGTCCCACTAGTGCGCATACACGTGAAAGCTCCCTCCCACACCGGTCTTCGATATTCCTTCCGCCGATCTCCTGTGTACGATCCATGTCTATGTTGCTGACTCGGCTCACCGTGCCGCATCTCGTTTCAAAAGTCGCGCTGCTGGCACATATCTAACGGATAAGAATAGCAACTCAGACCACCTGGCAGATCTCATTAATTGCAGGTAACTCGCCCCACACCACGTTCGTCGGATGTTGATGGTTCTGCTTACGTGTCGGAGCCGCGCGCGAGGCCATCGAAACTCAGTTCTGCCCTCCGATGGCAATGTGCTGCCCTGTCCCCAACAAATATCCAGGCGAAGGGCCAAACCGTACATGCAGTTGTGAATATCGCGTTGTGGGTACCGCTTCGCGTGGAGCTCCTTTGGGGCCATGATACGCGTGAGGGGTATGCCGCAGCGGGTGGGGGGAGACGCATGCGGCCGCGGACACTGGGGCCTTCGGTGCAGCTGCTCACGTGGCCACGCGAAGCTGTACTGGGTGGGGCCAGCGCATGCGGTCGCGGCCACTGGGGTCTTCGGTGGGGCTCCCTGTGGGGCGACGAAACGGTGTACTGGATTGGGGAGACGCATGCGGCCGCGGCCACTGTGGCCTTCTGTGGAGCTCCCTATGGGGCCACGAAGCGCTGTACTGTCTGGGGGGGGGGCGCATGAGAACGCGGCCACTGGGGCCTTCATTGGCGCTGTACTGGGGGGGGGGGGGGGGAACCGCATGCGAACGTGGCCACAGGGGCCCCTTGGGTGGAGATCCTCATGGGGCCATGGAGCGCTGTACTGGGCGGAGGTGACGCGTGCGAACGCGGCCACTGGGGCCTTCAGTGGAGCTCCTTATGGGGCAATGAAACGCTGCACTAGGCGGGGGGACGCATGCGAACGTGGCCTCTTGGGCCTTCGGTGGAGCTCCCTATGGGGTCACGAAACACGTGAGGGGTGTGCCGAACAGGTTGACATGCAGAGGGCAGAAGCAGGGATGCGATGAGGGAGGAGGAGGAGGAGGAGGAGGAGGAGGAAGGAGGAGTGAGTGAGGAAAGCGGGGCGCTGTCCCTTCAAAGCGAAGACCAAACACCACAGGATGCTTCGGAACAAATCAGCTTTTCTGCCAACCGAAATGCACCCACACCCCATCCCTTCCCTGCCACGAGCGCCTGTGCCTTCCAGCGCAGCGTTCCAAGTCTGGAGCAGCGCACCGGTGTTGGCGAAGGCTGCACCTCTTGTTACCACTATTTCGCTGCGTTGTTGCAAACCCAAGCGAAGGTGGCGATGTTGCGAGCCCGACATTGACCAACCAAGGCAAGAAGAGACAATAGAAGGCTGGCCGAAGGAGGCTTGACTCGGGGATAGACAGGAGAAGACAGGGAGAGACATGAGATTCAGCCCCTCCCCTTCCTACTTGTCCGAATATACACGCAACTCTTCAGATCATGAAGCTGTGTTTCATAGTCGCCACGCGCTGCCATGTCGCATGTAGAGCTACAGCATACCCAAGGAATGCTTCAATCCAATGGAGTGCGATCGGCTGCTAACGTAAACACTTCGCGGATGATGATTTCGTTTCTCGATGTGACGTCACATGTCCCCAAGACAGCACATGTTCTGCAGTGGAACCTTCGCGGGCGCAAATGGCGGGAAGCGACAATTTGCGCTGTCTTGTACTTTCTACGAAAACCCCAACAGTCGCCGGGAAGCTCGGCTGGGCGGCATTATGAGTCTGACAGAGGCAATGGGCATCGTGCACACCATCAGCCGCTATGCCATATGGTTGGTACGAGAAGGTTGATAGTGGAAGCCCGTGGTGTACCGGCGAGGTGGCGACATTGACAGCTAAAAAACAGCGGATGAACGGCTGGGACGTTGACCTTGAATGAACGGAATAGAATGACAATTGCACAACTCGCGCAGCATGATTTCGCGCACATCGGTGAACTATGTTATGATGATGGACGTTCCCAGCAGCTAGACAAGCGTCAGTCACAATGTTCGGGGGTGCCTTGCCCAGCTTCCCTCGCGCACCGACAGCGAAAAATGTAGGGCCCCACCCCGGGGCGAGATCGGCCAAGCACCACAGATACAACAGCCATTGCCACTGCCGCTGTCGGACAACACGAGCTGGCACAGGGAGTGGCTCCCTCTCTCTTCCTTCCATCCGCTCGCCCCCTTCACGAGTGGTTCGGCGGGCGCGGCCAGGAAGGGAAAGGCGGCGGTGGCGGGCCTCCCCGGGAGGCGCAGGAGGCCCACGCACTTCCATCCGAAGCCACGCCGCCCTCTGAGAGCAGGCCCGTCCCTCTCGCTTCCCCCCCTCGGCTCCCCGCCGTTCCCCACGCCCCCCTCGTCCCGTGCGCAGGCGGTGCGCTCCCCCGGCCGCTCCTGCACCGAACCCCTCCCGTCCCGCCTCTCGGCGACGACGCCGTGGCACCGCGCAGGCCCACGACGGCGAGCAGGCACCCCGCAAAGCGGGCCATCATCTTCCTCGCGGCGGGCGCGCAGAAGTAGCACTGGCTCTACCCCCACGATCGATGGCGCGCTGGGGGCAAGTCTGGGAGTTCTGGGTTCGAGGTTCGAAGTTTTCGGGCGTCTTCGTCGGTTCTCGGTGGTGTTCCACCTTCGGGATGCGTTCCAGCGACTGCGCCTCGCTGAAAGCGTTCTGGGGGGGCCCGATCGTCCCAAACGGCAGCTGGAGGCCCGAGTTATGACCCAAAAACCCTTCCCGTTGGTGGCACAGGCCTTCTCAGAAGGCGGCGAGGCTTCTCAAGAGGCCCTCTGGCCTCCTAGGATGCCTTCTGCGGCTTCGGGGACGGCTCAGACAGCTTTCTGCCTTCGGAGACTCCTGAGTAGGTGGCGACACCCGAACCCTGCCCCCCACCAAACACCGATTGTCCCGAACCGATGGGACACGCGGGTCAGGTTCGGATCTCGCCGCGTGCTCGACGAACTCCGAGCCCTACAGCCGCCGCCAGTCCAGCTGCCTCTGGATCCTTGCTCGGCGAGCGTAGGGGGGGGGGTTCGGATCTCGCCGCCGGCCGAGGAGGCCAGCCTCCTCCTTGCCTGCGGAGCCATCCCAGGGAAGCACGATGTGGCCAGAAGCCCTTGCTCAGGCGAGGCACCCAGCGGGGCAAGCTCAGTCGGCCCGCCTCGGGCAGCCAGCACGCGCGTACGCACACGCACGCGCGAGGGCCGCCCACTGATCGGCGTGCACACGTCGGCGTGTTCCTGCATCGGTCGCGGCAGGTCTTTGCTGTCCCGCCGCCGCTCTCCTCCCCCACCTGCCTTCCTCTCCCTCTGCTGCCAGGTCGGGGACATAGTTCGATAAGACTTGCCCTCCGCTGACAGACGCTCGCAATAATACGCCGAAGCGTGTCCAACAATGTGACGATGAGGCGCTGAGCGATTGACACCACAGCAAGACACACCAGGCAATAGCGATCGCACAGTAAAACAAACGGGCTTTCCGAGCTGAGAAGCGCACGATTGAGATGATTTGCGCGATGAAGTTGCAGATTGCGCCATATATGGCAGGAAAAAGAAAAGGCAAGGAGGAGGTAAGGAGGGGAAGAGGAGCCAAATGACGATGAGGACGGCGATGGAATGGAGAAACAGAAAACCTGAGGGAAGGAGGAGCAGCAGGACGGGGACGACGAGGAGGGCATTTGCGCACGGAAGGCTGCCCCTGCGGCCACGGGAGGGAACATGCCCCGGGCAAGTCCCGGCAAGGTCCCAGCGAGGTCCCAACAAGACCGCTTCAGAGATGCCAGAACTCCCCGGCGCGAGCCTCGAGATCCCCAATGAGGCCCCAAGAGCGCCCCAAGGGAGATCCAAGGCGGCGCAGAGTTCTCGAGACGGGCCAGTGACGCTCCAAGACGGTCCAAGCTGGCTTCAAGACGGCCCAAGAGGCTCGCAAGAGTGAACAATAATATGCCCAAGAGGGCCCCAAACCACGAAAGTCATGCACTTCATTTAATACTCCGCCATGACGGAAGTTTCCTCTGAAACGCAAAGAACCGAAATCACCGACGAGCGAAGTCGGGAAGAGTCTGGGATAATTGTTTCGCACGTGGAAGACCAATGGCCGCATTGTGCTGGGATCTGGCAGAGACCGAGATTTGTGATCATTTCCAGCCAGGATCTGGCGTATATTGATACTTTTACCCTTAAGCACCACGACCTCGAATATATAATTATCACGCCGCTGGGGGAGCACGACAAGGCTTTTCTCGTGAATATTCTAAAAAAAGGAAGTGGGCTGATGCCATTGTGGCACGTCCACGGCCCGTCGAGATTTCACAGAAACGCCCGTGCCCCGTGCGAGATCGCGCCCGCGGCGACTCTCTCTTTCTCTCTCTCTCTCTCTCTCTCTCTTTCTCTCTCTCTCTCTCTCTCTCTCTCTCCAGATCGCCCAATGACGGGCGCCAGGGCAACTGCAGCATGGGAAGCGCGGAAGCGCTGCGCTCCACACTGGGCACGCACGCGGCACGCGCGCGAGAGACGGCTCGCGGGCACGGCGTGGCATGGCACGGCGCACGGCGCACAAGCGCGCCGCACGCTCCGCACTCCAAGGACCAAGGACAACACGGCACGGCACGGCGCAATTTCCGCTTGCTTATCATCATCATCACCATCACCACCACCATCATCCTCGTCATCACCACCATCATCCTCGTCATCATCCTCGTCATCGTCATCGTCATCATCATCATCATCATCATCATCATCATCATCATCATCATCATCATCATCATCATCATCATCACCATCACCATCACCATCACCATCACCATCATCGTCATCACCACCATCACCATCACCATCACCATCATCACCACCATAATCCATATCAGCAATATCATCATTATCACCACCGTCGCACGGCACGGCGCACGGAACGGAACGGCACGGCACGGACGGCACGGCACGGAACGGCACGGCACGGCACTGCGGCCGACGTCGGCCACCCGCGACGAGAGGCACGAGGGGACGACGAAATGCCGCTTCGCCGTGGCGAAAACTTCCTCTCACCAGCGCAGGACCGAAATCAACGACGAGAGAAGTCGGGAAAACCCAGGACCAGCTGTTTCGCACGTGGAAAACCAATGGGATCATTGTTCCAGGATCTGGCAGAGGCCGAGACAAGAATTTGCCACATGAAGATCCAATGGGACAACTTCCGCCTGGAATCTAAATGCTGCTATTCTTACAAGTGTAAGCCACCAGGACCCCACGGGTCAAATTATCCCGTCGTTGGGGGGAAGCGGGAAGCCCAACAAGGCTACTCATTAGGATTCTAAGGAGGAAAAGGCTCCTCGAAAATTCGAAGGAGATTCTTTGACGCCGCAACATTTTGAAAGATTTGATCGTTCTCGCTTTTCCGAGCTTCCGCCACCCCAAGACGGCCCCAGAGACGTCCCCAAAAAACCTCCAAGACAGCCCCAACATGGCCCAAGAGGGCCCCAAGTCTGCCGAAGAAGCCCCCCAAGACGGCCCAACAGGCCCTCAAGAGGGCATCCGACACTTCCAGCAGGTTTGCAAGAGCTCCCCGAAAGCCCCCAAGACCCCAAGATGCCTCACCGAGGCCCCCGATGAGCTCCCAAGAAGCCCCCGAGGGACATCCCGAGAGAACCCGAGAGGCATCCGACACGCCTTTGGCCCACGATCCAGGCACGGCGGCGGAATGCAATGACGGAGCTTCGGTGTGGGCGTGCGCCCTTCAGTGCTGCCTTGCAGCTACCCTGCAACTGCTTCCCACCCTGCAACTGCTTTCCCCCCCCAAAAAAACGGCATATAAAGATACACTTTCGGAAATCCGCGCGAATTTCTTGGCTGGCCGCCCTCCCTGGCGCGCCCTCCCCGGCGCGCGAAAAGCGCCGGGGACGACGCAGGAAGCGCCGTACGGGGGGCCCAGCGCCGACGAGAGAAATCCGCGGGGGAGCTCAGAGAACGCACGCGTCGTTCATTTCTAATCCTGCGCATTTCTAATTGCGCTCCTTTCGAATTGCTCCTGCCCCCCGAGTGGCCAGGAAGAGGCCCAGGATAGAGCAATTAGAACTGAAAGGATCTTGGCCCCTTCCAAAAACAAAAAACTTTCGAATACCTGGACATGAACCATGTGTGTGTGTTCATGCCTTCTGCGTTTCTCGACCCCAGCGAAGTTCCCGCGACAGCTCAGAACAGCGGCCACGCGACAGCTCCGGCCACGCGCAAAGCACGCGAGCGCTTCTTCGATGGCCGCCGCCAGACATCGGCGCGCGAGCCAGTGCGGTTTGGGGGGACCCGGTGTGGCCGACAGAGAGAGCGGGAGAAAGAGAGGGATGGAGAGATAGAGAGAGAGAGAGAGAGAGAATTAGCCTGGCGAAGGACCCAACCATACGCAGTTGTGAATACCGCAATTGTGAATACCATCTTCGCCCGCGCTCCCTATGTAGCCACGGCTCCCCGCCGGGGCCCGACATGCTCAGGGACACGTTCGTGGCCGTCTTCGCGGGCGCCGACGACGACGAGGACGGCGTCCCCCTGACCGAGGAGCAGAAGCAGGAGAGGGCTCTGAGAGCCATGAAGGATGCTGCCACGGGCGACATCGGTGGGGCTCCCATGGGGCCACGATCCTCGTGAGGGGTGTGCCGAAATGGCCCAAGGCCGCCATGCGAACCCTGACACTGGTGCTTTCGGTGGAGCTCCCTATGGGGCCACGAAGCGTGTGAGGGGTGTACAGACAGGGGGAAACACCGACATGCCGAACCTGCCGCTGCGGCATTCGGTGGTGCCGCCTCAGACCACGAAACGTGCGAGGGGTGTGCCGAAATGGAGGGTGGAACCGCATGCGAACGCAGCCACTGGGGCCTTCGGTGGAGTTCCCTGTGGGGCCACGAAACGTGTGAGGGGTGTGCCGACATGGGGGGTGGAACCGCATGCGAACGCAGCCACTGGGGCCTTCGGTGGAGAACCCTATGGGGCCACGAAACGTTTGAGGGGTGTGCCGAAATGGGGGGTGGAACCGCATGCGAACGCAGCCACTGGGGCCTTCCGTGGAGCTCCTCCCTACGGGGCCACGAAACGTGTGAGGGGTGTGCCAAAATGGGGGGTGGAACCGCATGCGCCGCAAAAGCGAACGCAGCCACTGGGACCTTTGGTCGAGCTCCCTATGGGGCCACGGAGTGTGTGAGGGGTGTGCCGAAATGGGGGGTGGAACCGCATGCGCCGCAAAAGCGAACGCAGCCACTGGGGCCGTCGGTGGAACTCCCTATGGGGCCACGAAACGTGTGAGGGGTGTGCCGACATGGGGGGTGGAACTGCAGGCGCCGCAAAATCGAACGCAGCCACTGGGACCGTTGGTGGAGCTCCCTATGGGGCCACGAAACGTGTGAGGGGTGTGCCGAAATAGGGGGTGGAACCGCATGCGCCGCAAAAGCGAACGCAGCCACTGCGGCCTTCGGTGGAGCTCCCTATGGGGCCACGAAGCGTGCGAGGGGTGTGCCGACAT